GTATTCACCGTGTAAGAGAACACATTCCTCTGTGCGCGGTTTAGTTACAGCCAGGGAGGCAGGTGAGTGCTTCTGTAGAGAGTCCAGCCGGGGAGCCCCGACGTGGTACCTGGGCCCCTGCAGGTCACATGCAGAGGGAGACACTTCCCTGACCGAGCACATGTGGAACTCTCTTCTGATATTGGATAAGCAGGCTCTGTGTGTTTTTCTTATCTCTGTGCCTGAGGTGGATTGAACATGTTTAAGTCAAGATTGAGGCCCACGTGAAAATTCCTGTCTGGATGGTATTTGGTGGATGTGTCCTTTACTTATGTGGCCCCATCTGTGTGCATTCCAGTGATCATTAACAAAGGCCTCTTGGCGGAAAACCCTGATGAAAGTGGATTTGAAAGTGGCTGTATCAGCTGCAGGTCTGGCAAGACCTCAGTGACTCCGAATGGACTGAAACCCTGTGTCATCAGTTTGTGTTCAGCCAACCTTATGTGAAGGGAAAAGGCAGCTTAGTCGGCAAAGGGGCAACAGAAGTGTCATGGATTTCCTCTGGGCAAAAGTTTCGCATTCTATACGTTAGCAGAGAACCCCTCACTTTTTCTGTATTAGGCGTGAAGACCTGCTTGCCGTCGCACAACTGGGGAAGCAGACTTGCTCGTGATAACTTGCTGGGGCCACCAGAGCACATTCCAAAGACCAGTGGCTTAAACACAGAAATGTATTTGTCACAGTTCTGAAAGCTAGGAGTCCAGGATCAAGGCTGACAGGGTTGACTCCTGGGGCCTCTCTCTGTTGGTTTGCAGGTGACCGTCTTGGCACCGCAGCCTCACTGTGTGTGGACATGGGGGCGAGTACAGTGGATGCTCCGGAGTGAGGCGCCTGGTTTCTCCTGGGGACCTGAAACTCAGTAGTTTGTATTTTAACCTCATCTGTACGTTAGTTGCCTAAGATGTACAATGGGAACCACAGGAACTTGAAACTCACGGGGTTGTTTGGGATTAACTGAGGTGATATGCTTGAAACTCTTAACACGCATGAGGTGGGCCTATTGGTTCTTTCCATTTTCAGATGTGAAACTGGAAAACAGAAGGTGAATTCCATTCGTAAATGACCTTGACTTCCATCCCCGTCAGATGGGCTGCCTGATCGCACTATCTCACTTGGCACCTCCACTTTGTGAAGTCTGTTTTTACATCTGCTGCAGTGGTCCACGTGCTCATAGAGTTCTCTTTTTGTGATGAAGCTATTTGCAAAGCAGTTGCACAGTGATGGGGTCCCTCCAGTTAGCTTGGGCATCCGAATGAAAACCCAGTGGAAAGCTGTTTAGGATGGATTCCGTCCTGGTGTTCTGGCACCGTGCCAGATCTTTGTGGGAGTGAAAGTAACTGCCCGCACACTGTGCAAAAACCCTGATGTTCTTCAGGACTAGTTCTAGAGGAGACAGTAAGGCTGACTGCCAGGTGTGTGCAAGAAGTGTTTGGTATTTCGGTAGCATTAGACTATAGTAAGTCAAATATATATCTAAATTGTGGAATATGTGAATGATAAAGTTGGGGGAAAGGGTTTTTAAAAAATAAACTCACAAAAAGAAAAAACATGTAATTATGTTCATGGGAGAATTTTCTGGAGATGTTTGGCTGGGGCAAAATAGTCTTTCCGTTATTTTAATTTTTACAAGTGGTTTAAATGGATGAAGGTGGTTCTAGATTTTTAAACATTGGACATTTAGTTCCAGATACAAATATTCATAACAGATACACAACTCCTGATTTTCCTCATAATTGAAATCCAAGAACATTATTTTGCTTTTATTGTGCTTTAGAAACAGTGGTTGTGTTCTAGAGGAAAATTGCAGATGAACGTGGATAGTTAAACTATCACACATCTCTTGCAGACTAAATTTTATTGGAGTACATTTCTCATAGGTGAACATATTTATTATAATGAGATAAAACTGTCCTTGCCAGGGAATAACAGTAGATGAATGCAGAATATTTTGGTTTATGGTGGGTTAACTTTAAGGAGCTCTTGTATTCCTAGAATTGGTGAGGACTACGATGGGAACAAAAAATAAAAAAAAATAAATGAAAAGCCCAGAGGCAATACAGTTGGAATTATCCAGTGTGTAGTCTTTTCAAATTGGCATCTTTTACTTAGCAATATGCCTTCAAGTTTCCTCCATGTCTTTTTGTGGCGTGAGAGCTCTTTTTTTTTTAAATCATGGAATAATATTCCATTGTATGGCTGTATCGCACTTCAGTTATCCATTCATTAATGGGAGTTTTCTGTTCACTTGGGGAAATACCAAGGAGTGTGCCTGCTGGGCTGTGTGGTAGGAGTATACTTAGTTTTGTAAGAAGCTGCCAAACTGTCTTCCAAAGCGGCCGCCCACTCTGCGTTCCCACCAGCACCGGGTGCGAGCTCCTGTGGGCCCACGTGCTCGCCAGCACTTGGTGGTGTCCGTGTTCTGGGTTTTAACCATTGCAGAGGTGTGTCGTGGGCTGACTTTTCCCCTCGTATTCAGATACGTTACCTCCAAATCACTATGTTAGAAACACATTTGACACTGCCGTCTGTGTGATACCACTATTATCATTCAGGATCTGGATGGAGGAGGACACTGGAAACAGGAAAGCAAGCACTTACGTTAATATTAAGACTGTTCATAGTAACAGTAGTGATAATACACATTTATTTGTGAGTATTTTTTGAGTTTATTTTGAAAACAAATGCTACCAGGAAAACATTCAGGAGATACATCTCTGATGAACACTAAGCAGTTATCTTCAAAAGCGTTAAGAGCCACTGGCCACCACCAAAGAGGCACTTTGGTGTTTGAGCGCTTGCTACTGATTCTTGATTGAGACTTTTCGGTGCCTTTGTTCCAGGTCTTTCAAGTTGCTTATGTCATCGTCAAAGCTGCTAATGCCCCTCGCCCTGGAAACTGGATTTTGGAGCGATCTCTGGATGGTGTGGAGTTCAGCCCCTGGCAGTTTTACGCAGTTAGTGACACGGAGTGTTTGACTCATTACAATATAACTCCAAGACGGGGGCCGCCCACTTACAGGGCCGATGACGAAGTGATCTGCACCTCATATTACTCCAGGCTGGTGCCACTCGAGCACGGAGAGGTACTGTCCCCCACAGGGAGGTCTGTTTCTTGTTCAGAGCCCCCAGCTCCAGTGGGAACTTGGCGGGGAGCCAGCATGGGACACTCCTGGTACAGATCACTGAGCTCTTTCCTCTGACTCTCCACCTGCTGTAGTTCAGCTAGCACTGAGGGTGTCTACGGATGATTCACGTCACCACTGATACATTTTACTTTATTGGTTTCTTCCCTTCAAGGAGATCCCTCAACCTTCACTCTGCTGTGATGTAGTAACTCCATCAGATCCCCCTCAAAACGTCTTTCCATGACACCAGGGCAGCCATCTTTGTTGAAATGTTAAAGAGAGAACCAACAAGCCTCTAAGAGACAGAGCTCCTGGTTTTCTCTCTGAAGTTCTCTCCAGCAGTGTGGAGGGATGGAGCTGGATCGTGAGTTCTTCCAGCTCAGTGCTCTACATGCCCGGGCCGCACACACATCATCAGTCAGCACGTAATCCAAAGCAACCCATGCCTTGGTAGCATCTGGCTTGATGACACAAGCCTGCAGGAATCCTTCAAGGGGTTTGCACAGCAGGTCCTCTGCCGCAAGTCTTGCTTTGTTTCAAGAGCAGAGGAGAACTGGAAAAGCAGGAATCACAAAGCTTCCTGGCACTTCTTTTTCTCACTGTCCCCAGTCTATTCATCACACTTAGAATTTGTTTCAGAGAAGTCATAACCTATTGATACATGTTAAAATGCCCTCACCGCCCTGGGAGGAGTAGCCCTGCTGAAAGGTTTCTGGCCAACCCTGAGACACTGCAATGAATAACTCCAGTAACTCGAACATGGGCTGTGATCATGGTGTTCACAAGTGTCAGTGAACATTAGACAGATTTCTTCAAGAACTTGGTTGTTTGATTTGATTTTATTTTGTATCCATAAAGATTATGTCCTGAATTTAAACCATCAAGGCTATTTTTTTGCATGCCTAAAATTACATATATATATATGTATATATATATATATGTGTGTGTGTGTGTGTGTGTGTGTATGTCTTTATCTTTAGATTCATACATCACTCATCAATGGCAGACCAAGCTCTGATGATCTTTCACCCAAGTTATTGGAATTCACTTCCGCACGATACATCCGCCTGCGATTACAGCGCATTCGAACCCTCAATGCCGACCTTATGACCCTGAGCCACCGGGACCCTAAAGACCTGGATCCTATTGTTACAAGACGAGTAAGTCCAGTTGGGCTCCTGACCATGGTGGAATGTTTCTGTTGTTTAAGGACATAGACTTTTCCTCCGAGGTTGGCCTTTTCTCTTACTTTATTGAAGATCATGATACATGCTCTGTTAAAAACGCCACCTTTAAACTAGGCGCTGAAGTGATGGTTCTGAAGTGATGTCCTCAGGTCCCTCACCCCACCCATCCCATAATGCTGGCATGCAGTGGATGTTGTGGTCATTTCTTCACATCCCAGTCTGGCTCTGTATCTGATTGCTGTTACCTGCAGGCTTTCCTTAGAAACGCCTTCATTAGACTAAAGAAGCTATTTTCTGCTCCTGGCTTGCTGAGTTTTTAATGATGCTGTTGTATTCTGTAAAATGGTTTTTGTGCATCTAGCAAAATGATCCTATGATTTTTCTCCTTTTTTCTGCTAATGTGATTTACATTGATTTTTGTGTGTTAAATTAACTGTACATTTCTGGGATCAATCCTACTTGGCCATGAGTTATTCTCCTATTTATATAAGGCTGTATTCAATTTAGGAATATTTTTTAGGGTTTTCAGTAGCATGGGTTTTGAACATGACTGCCTTGGTTTAAGATGCTTCCAAGTTGAGAAATTCTTGTTAAAATCCTTTGGTTTCTGTTGATGAAGTAATTTGAACATTATTTATTTAAACTGAACACAAATATTTTATTTATATTTACTCGTGCATGAAATATAGTTTAAAATGTGTGTCTGTATTTTACATTACCGGTAACAGCTGAGATACTTGTTGGAGTGCCAACATTTTTTCACTGAAATAGAAGAGGTTTTAATGTCTGTTTGTGCCTCTCTTTTCCCCTAGTATTACTATTCAATAAAAGACATTTCTGTTGGAGGAATGTGCATTTGTTATGGCCATGCCAGTAGCTGCCCATGGGATGAAACTACAAAGGTGAGTTTTAGCATTTCACATTTTGCTGAAACTTCAAATAGAACCTGTAGGTATAATGTTTACATTTTACATTGTTATTCCAGGCATGTGTTGAAAGTTAGAAAATCATGCCACAGAAAAGATTTTCAGATAATTTAACTGGTTTCATTTTTTTAGGACAGTTTCATTTTGCTTTGGTTGGAAAAGATGTTTCTAATTAAATCCTTTTCATGATTTTTTGTGGTTAGAATAGATATAACATTGACCATTCTAACCATTTTAAAGTGTCAATTCAGTGAATTTTGAAGATCTTCTCTATAATATAGACAGTCAAGTGACAATCATGTACAGTTAGACATTATGTTTATATTTTTTAAAAAAAGGACTCCCCTCCTCCCAGTTTCCCCTCTCTCATTTTTGTGGCACTGCATCAGGATAAAATAAAGCTGACCTGCTTGAGCACAGTATTGAGTGAATAAGATGGCATCCTCCTTTCTTCTTTTAAATAACTTACGTGAAGTTACTTCTCATTTGTTCCCAATCTTTGTAATAGTTTAACTCTTGATAGGATTATTCTCTTATTGATGCTGAAAATATAGAGATGAATATCAAGAAAGTTATTAATAGAAGCTCCTAAATCTTTCAAGTCAGCATATCTCTTCTGAAAAGCTTCTGTTAGTCTGTATTTTAGTGTTGCTTTATTCCTTTGCATTTCTGTTTGTAACCAGGTCGTAATGTGTATTTTTTCCCTCTAAAGATTAAATGCCAGTTTGCTTGTGGATCACCATATATCCTCAATTGTAACCTCTTGCCGTGTGTTTGACTGTGATGGGCTCCTTTTAAGTAAAATTAAGTAAAACATACAGGTACATTTTTGGGTGCAATCCTGTGTTCCTTACTGTCTAGAAGTTCCAGTGTCAGTGTGAACACAACACCTGCGGCGACAGCTGCAGCCGCTGTTGTCCTGGGTACCACCAGCAGCCCTGGAGGCCCGGCACCGTGTCTTCCGGTAACACGTGTGAGGGTGAGTCCCCTGAGAATTGCAGAATTTATGGTGACTTCAGATTTGTAATTAGTAAATAATTGGTTTTCTTAGCTATTCAAGAAGTTCCCAAAGCTGCAGACTACCTTAATACAGTTTAAAGGACTGAGATTTAAATTTATCGTTATGAATTTGCTATTATGGCTGAATTTCCCCTTCCTGTATATTCACTTATTCTTTATTAATTTGGATTTAAATTTTAAATAGGCAGTATATTCACAAGGTGCCAATGTCTACAAAATATGAAAAAGTATCTAGTGGGCAGCATTACTTCTGCCCCATCTCCCTCCTTCCCACCTTGTATTATTCCCTGGTACATTCTTCCTGTAATGCTTATGCAAGCAAAGGAGTATTGAGACATTCCTCCACCTCACAAGGCCACTGCACGGAATCTGATGTACCACTCATGTCATTCTGTGCGCTGCTTCCATGTGGAACAATGTATCTGAAGGAAGGTCTTTCCCCATGAGCACCACGGGATGCTGACTTTAAAGACGTTTGCACAGAACTCCTTTATATGGATGTAACAGTCAAAACAGATACCTCTCCGTGGATATTCTGGTTGTGACCAGTCTCTTGTTAACACAAGCGATGGTGCAGGGATTCACCTTTGTCACTGACACGTGAGCAAGTATTTCTGCAAGAGACGATCCCAGAAGATAGGTTGGCGGGTCAAGTGGGCAGGCACACATCTGCCTCGCGTATGATTCCCCAGTGCCTCCGTGAGATTGCCCATGTCCTACTGAAATTACTTGTTCTATAATTTTAGTTTAATTTATGGTCCTCCACACTCACTTAGGGAGGCAGGGCTTTTCTTCACCTAGGACGTGGTGTACACAGCAACTGAGGTGTTAAACTCTTCTCCTAGAATGCAATTGCCACAATAAAGCCAAGGACTGCTACTATGACGAAAGCGTGGCACAGCAGAGAAGCAGCTTGGACACTGCCGGGCAGTTCCGAGGGGGAGGGGTGTGCATCGACTGTCTGCAGAACACCATGGGGGTCAACTGCGAGACCTGCACTGACGGCTACTACAGACCGCACAAGGTCGGGGCCCAGCTTCCCGTCACCCCCAGGGGGAAAGAGATGTGCTCGGCCGAGCGTCAGGCTCAGCGCTGGGACTCACTCCCTTCTGGAACGTTTCCTTTATGTTCTCGTTACGCTGGTAGTGTTCTTCGGATGTGGATTTCCTACACTACCTGTCCTGTTTCCTTGCTCGCTCCGTGTTACCTCACTTGAATGGGGGTAGGGGCCCACTGGCCGTGTGATCTCAGAGTTCTGTGGCGCTGACTGTCCGAGCAGAGTCAGCCCGTAACTACAGCAGCTGCATCTTGCCCAGAGGAAGTGCTCAGTCCTCACCTGTGTCGTATGCAGCTGTCACGGGAATCCCGTGGTGGCCAGGTCACGGGAGATGCTCCTACGAGGCTCCAAGAGACGGCAGAGTGAGGGGGGCCGGGTAGCAGTGATCATGGAAAAGGATGACGCTTGGCCAGTGCTGCTAGCTGCTGCCACCATCAGGAAGATGTTTGGGATTTTCTGGCTTGGCCTCTACCCTCTGGGTGCACAAAATCATTGTGACAGTCACGTGTGGGATAAGAAGCCAACGCCTTGTCATTGATACTATGGTTGATGTTATTTCGAGTAAGGTGATCCTGGACAACCTCTGCTTTTCAGGTGTCTCCTTATGAGGACCACCCTTGTCACCCCTGTGACTGTGACCCTCGGGGGTCCCTCAGTTCTGTCTGTATTAAGGATGACCATCATTCTGACATACACAGAGGTGAGTACTTGGTTCGTTTTTGTGCTTGTAATTGATTCGTGTGTGTGTTTAAGATTTGTACCTAGGGAGACTGTTTCGTAGCAATTTGGTGATATGATCCTCTGTTTATTCTTTTGTTCACTGCATCTTTATCAGTATTTGTCAGGCAGTTTTCTACGGCCAGGAACATATGTTTGAATAGGAGATCAAGGTCCCTGCTCATAGGCAGACGCTGAAGGAACAAGTACACGTGCAATATAATGCCAGGTGGGGGTCAGTGCCACGGACATAAGGCAGAATTAGCAATCGTGATGGGAGGGAGATAGTGGGTGGAGACGGCAATGTTAGGCTGATGAAATGACATTTGAGAGCTTAATTGAGCATTTGATGAAAGAAGAAATAAGGCTTGGTTTAAAGTCATGTGCAGGACACAGTAGATAGCAGTCACTTGATTCAGCTCATAGAAGACACTGGGAAGGCTTAGCGCACATCATCTCACAGAGCAAGCGAATCCTCCAGGTAGCTTGGTAAATGTCAGTGTTCCTTCTGTTTCAAAAACTGGCAGATTGACTGACAAAGGCCAGAGTCTCCTGAATAGGTTGAATCTCTTCAGAGCCTTCTGCGACCTCCTCAGATACTCCCTCACTAGCAGTTAAAATGGGTATCAACCAGGCGGGAAGGGTACACTGATGATGGGGCCCGCTGGCAACGTGAACAGTAAATTACATGGCTGAATGATTCTTAACGTGGGAGCTGTGACGAGATGATGATGATGGTGGTGATGGTGGTGATAATGGTGGTGATGATAATGGTGATGGTGGTGATGGTGATGATGATGATAATGGTGGTGGTGGTGATGGTGGTGGTGATAATAGTGATGACAGTTACCCTTGATTGGGTTCACCTGGAAATGCAGATCATTTTAACTTTCAACCATAGCAGATAAAAATAATTTTGCCCATTTAACAGGCAAGGAAACTGTAACTCAGAAAATTTAAGAAACTTGACCAGTATACACAACCAGAAGCTGTCAAAGCTGGCATTAAAAGCTAAAATAGTGCTCTTTGCTCTCTACCATTTGTTTTTGGGCTTTTAAAATAAAAGCTTTATTTTGTGATATAATGGACTGCCATACAGTACACCCATTTAAAGTTTACAATTCATTGTTTTTCAGTGTATTTGTGAGTGCAGCCATCACCACAATCTAATATGAGTACATTTTCATCAATCACCCCAAAAGAAAGCCCCTTATTCATTGGCAATCCTTGCCTATTTCCTTCCATCCCCTCCTCCCCCAGCTCTGGGCAACCCTTAATCTACTTTCTCTCCGTAGACCTACTTATTCTGGACATTCCGTATATAGAAACATACACTATGCGGTCTCTTGTGACTGGTTTCTCCCCCTTGGCATAATGTTTTCAAGGTCCATACCTGTTGTAGCAGGTGTCAGAACGACATCCTTTTCACTGCTGAACAGCACTCCGTTCTGTGCGGATTTGATTTCTCCCTTCATCAGTGGATGGACATTGGGGAACTTACGACTTTTCAGCTGTTGTGAATAGTGCTGCTATAAACATTCATGTGCAAGTTGTTTAGGGGGGATGTATGTTTCCATTTTTCTTGACAACATACTTAGGAGTCGTATTTCTAGATCTTACAGTAGCTCTATACTTAGCACTTTCCCAAATGGCTTCAAAAGCTCCTGCACCATTTCCCACCAGCCTCTTTATCTCCCTTTTCTTCCTTTAAACCAGGGGTTGACAAACTATGGTCCATGGGCCATATCTGGCACCACTTGTTTTTATAAGTGGTTTTATTGGAACAGAGCTGTGTCCACCTGTTTGCATGTTATCTATGGCTGCTCTCAAGCAATACGGGCAGAGATGAATTGTTGCAACAGAGACTCTGGCCAGAAAGCCTGAAACATCTACTCTCTGCCCCTTTACAGCAGTAGTTGGCCGACCCCCACTTTAAGCCTCTCCTGCCTTCCCACTGGTCACTGCCATTCTTGTCTTCCAGGGAAGTGGCCAGGTCAGTGTCCCTGCAAGGAAGGTTATGCGGGAGAAAAATGTGACCGCTGCCAGTTTGGCTATAAGGGTTACCCTGCCTGTGTGCCCTGTGACTGCAGTCCAGCTGGCAGCTTGAATGAGGAACCCTGCTCCGAGTCTTGTCTCTGTAAGGTACGTCTGGAGGTTAAACCCGTCTCCGAGTTTCCTTTGAGGTTTCCTGAAAATTGGACGCATTCCATTGACTCAGATGGTCAGTTCCTAAGCAGAGCATTGAGGATTAAGCAGAACCACCCCCTCCCCACACCTTCCTGAGAAACGTGACTTTATGTCACGGTGAACTGGCCACAGAATATGTCCTTGGACTTAGGCGCGTACCTGATTTTCTGTTTTGGTGCCTTTCAGGCAATGGCCAGATACTCCAGAGGCATTTCCGTGCCTTCCTGGATGAGACCAAATACTGTATTTCTCAGGCCTTGGCTTCTGCCTCTTCTATGATGTCCCTCTCCAGCTTTATGTTTAGAGGAGAACCGGGTAAACACGACATTTCTAAGAACATTAGTTAAAGGCAGATAGATTAGTTTGGATTTCCCTTAAAAAGGAACTGAACAATGATAAGAAAAGCATTAATCTGATGCAAGGAGGTGTTATTTGATATTAGTAACTATCTCCCTCGTAAATCATTAGCCTTCCAGCTGCATCTCGTTGCTTATTCCCACGTAAGCAGTCTTAGGCACATGTTACATATGATGGAAAATACTCTTGAGCATCTATTGGCACGACAATTACATAGTCCTCTTCAGATCTTGAAAGCTGCTTTGAAGACCAGCAAACAGGGATTTAAAATCAAACAATATGAAAAAGCCATTTAAATATAATGACCGAGCTCTAGGATCCCTGGCTACAGCCTTGACTGCAGAATCAAATGGTAAGTATTTCAGAATAGCTGGAAATAGTGGCATCATGAGGCTTCACATTTACTCTGAGCATCTGTTTATTTACTGGTATCTCTTGGTCAGCAGACATCTTTCCTGCTAATATGCTGTTCATGTCGTTTTATTTTGTCTACCTGTTGACTTCCAAAGTTGACTTTACTCTGACCTGCAGGAAAACGTGGAGGGGAGACACTGTGACCGCTGCAAGCCGGGGTTCTATAACTTGAACGCAAGAAACCCCCAGGGCTGCTCCGAGTGCTTCTGCTTTGGCGTTTCTGACGTTTGCGGCAGCCTCTCCTGGCCCGTCAGTCAGGTGCGAGCCCCTTCCCCGAGCCAGGACGTGATAAGTGCACCGTCTCAGATGAACTCTCGAGTGCTGTTAGGAAGCCGCGAGCTGCCTTTTTTGTAACACTGGTCTCACCGTTAGGACTGACGTGGCATGGACCGAAGGCTGCCCGCTACCAAAGTGTCACTGAAGTTTCATTCTAGTTCACGTGTTTGTTCCCACGTACATTTCCCTATCGAAGCAGTGGGATACTACAGTGTTGTAGAATGCGTCGTGTTTAAATGTCTTCTGTGGGGCAGTGCATCAAGTTGTAGGGTCAGATCTCACCCACCAGCCCCACCGGTCTCAGGCCAGGAAGCAGAGGAGGACGTGAGGTTATGTTCTAGCTCAAGGAAGCTGGCAAGGGCGAGACAGCGGCCGGTGGTGCAGAGATCATGAAAGCAGGCAGGGTCCCCTGCCATCTGGGGATCGGAGGGTGTTGGGGGGATGAGCCCGAGGGGGTGCTGATTGGGGACTGGGGAGGACAGCCTGATGGCCGGAGGTAGGCCTGTTCCCAACCCTCCTCCTTTCCCTCCCTCCTCCCTCCTTACCCCCCCCTGGAGAGGAGTGGGGGTCACCGGGGGAGAGAGGGTTCTGATCAGTACTTGCAAATGGGGGTGGGTCCCTCTGGGTGCTCTCCTGTCATCTCTACGCAGGCGACAGATTGAGGGGACAGAATCTGGAGGTTATTTTATACACTTTCCAGCATTTGGCTAAAAAGACGGGGGCAGCAACTGAGAAGTCAGAGTTAGCAAAAGACATTTTACTCAACGCATTTATTGGGTTCGTTGCTATTCTTTAACCTCAGCTGTGTGTCCATGGCCTTGCGGTGCTGCCCCTCTGTTTGCTTACAGTTGACCTGGCTTTGGGGGACGCGTGACTCATCCTCAGTTCTCCCGCCCTTGGACTAGCAGAAGGGCCACCGGGTGCTGACTTCATCCCTGGCCAAGCCTCTGGTTCATCTTCACTGTGAAGACACTAGTGCTGGGCTGAGTGAACCCTAGGTGGCTTCTGTTTCTTGTTCTGAAATTCTTGGGTCTTTTGTTAAGGTAAAAGAGATGTCTGGGTGGCTGGTCACCGACTTGGTCAGTTCCAGGCAGATCCCATCTCAGCAGGACGCGCTGGGCGGGCGTCACCAGATCAGCATCAACAACTCGGCGGCGCTGCAGAGGCTGACGTCCAAGTATTACTGGTCCGCCCCGGAGGCCTACCTCGGAAACAAGGTACTTCCGGTTACCTTACTTCTGGAGATGTTACCTCCCGTGATGGCGTCTTGGGCAAAGACGTCAGAGCGCTTCAAGGAAGAACTTCCATTTGCCTTCCAAGTAGTCTCACTGGTCTCGGGTTTGGGGTCAGAATATTATACAGCCTTTACTCAGCCTGACTCACGTGGTCTTTTTATCCTTGTTTGATTTTATTACATCATTAAAATTTGACTTCTGTTCCTGCTGGCCCAGTCCTAGGGGGTCTGCTGTGTGAAGTCTTGTCTCCTCTTTCTGCTTTGCTTTGGGTTCCTGGACCACTTGGGCCATTGTGACGTGGCCGTCACCTCCTTGCCTTGTGGAGCTGGCTGTGCACCTGTCTTAGCCTGGCCAAGAGCACTTGGAAAGGTTGTGCGGGGAACCACTGAGCTGCCCCCAGCTTCTTTATCATGGTTGTTGCTCACATGAAGTTCACATTTAAGAAAGTGCTAAACAGTGATACTGCAAAGTGGGATGTTGGTTGGTAGGATTTAACGTTTCCCTTCAGTGCCAAGGTCCCATCCCTCCTCACCAATTTTGCAGCTTCTCTCCAGGCCCTGACTGATCTGAAAACATGTTCAGTGGAATCTCTCTCAGTACCTATAGGTCCCTGCTCACCTTAACCGTGCGTTCGGTTTGTTTTAAAGTAAAGGTATGTGTGGTGTAGATCCTGCCCCTTGGCACATGTCTAGCTAATTTGATGACTGTGTGTTAATTTTGTAGCTTTGTGTTTGTTTCAGTGGTGTTTATTTTTGAAAATGATGATTTTTCCCATCAAATTACAGTCTTAGAAGATGTTTTCTGTTGAGAATGTGATCTCATCACCAGAACTCATCAGTTTTGTTCGTATGTGTCTTGAGATCACCTCTCCAGTCTTACGGTCAAAGACTGGCTTCTGAACATTGCTTGTTGTAACACACCTGGCAGAGAGAAAATCTCCTTTACGTTAAAGGCTGTCTGATCGGGAAGAAAGACCTTAGACCTTCCTTTAGCTGATCAGACATGTCCCTCTGCCCGCCTGCAAGCAGGGCGATGAGACCACATGTTGAGATTGTGGGATCCAACTCACCATCCCCAAAGCACTTAGGTGGAATAAATGTCCTTTGTGGGGCCAGCAGAAGTCCACAGTAACGTACCTGGGGTCTCTGAGAAGGAGTACGTTTTCTTCTGTGCATCTCAACAATATCCTGCATTTCGTAATATCAGACCATTCACACAGTGTGGTTCCTTGCACTGCCTTTAACGTAAAGTCCTTTTGTACAGTGGCCACCAGGACAGCTCGCGGCCTGTGGTTTCCAGATGGAGCCTAGTGACTTGCTTGTCTCGCTGAGGGCTATGACTGGTCCCCTCGGTGTTCACTCTCACTTACACATTCCAGCTGACGGCGTTTGGTGGATTCCTGAAGTACACAGTGTCTTACGAGGTTCCAGTGGAGACGGTGGACGGTGACCTCACGTCTCACGCTGATGTCATCATCAAGGTGACTGCTCTCACGTGGCTTTGCTGGAGCAGAGGGCTGCGCGAGGTGACAGTGTCAGGGCTGACGGTGGTTAAGCGAGGCCGTCGTAGCAGGAGCTCTGCGCAGGTGCTCTGCCTCCTCCGGAAACCGGGAGACCGGGCGTTTCCAGAATGGCCTCGGGGCAGCACGGGGAGCTCTGCCTCAATGCCCCATCTGAGCCGTCTTTCCACGTTGTAATGGGAGATGAGTGTCCTCCATGTGGGAACTTCCTCTTGGGCCCTTTGAGTCCCTGCTCCCTCCCGCCACATTCTCCCTACACGAATGATTAGGCAGCAGTGCCTGACCATGTGAGGGCAGGAGGTGCTTTGTCATTTTTGTCCCCAACCTCTGTCCCTGACCCTGTATCCTCACCCATCACAGAAAGACCCAGAAGGGCTCCCAGAGTGGTAAGAAGCCACTTCAGGTCTTGTCCGCAGGGCCTGGCTCCCCTCCGGTTACCTTTACTGACCTGTTCCTCCACCTCCAACCTGTGGCAGGTGGAAGTGGTGTGCAGGAAATCATTTTTGTTCACAACAATTTCATGAGAAGCTAGAGGGTTATTTAAATACTTTTTTTTTCACTTTTGTCCTTCAGTTAAAGGTTAGGGGTGTCAGATTGGGTGCTTTGAGGTAAATTGTGGGCTAGCATGTGACTTTGTGTCTTTTCTGCGATCCCAGTGAAGGACACAGGCTTTAGATCCCTCACAGAGCCATGCAGTGAAACATCTTCTCCCTGACTGTCCTGGACCAAGAGCTTCAGACATCATTACACATTTGCCCAAAAGCTTGCACACAAGTAAACAGCCACTGAATACAAAATTTGCTTTTATTTTTTGATCCCAAAATTGAATTATGAATGTATTTCCTCTTGTTTTTAAATGTTAGGGAAATGGACTCACTTTAAGCACCCAGGCTGAGGGCCTGTCACTGCAGCCGTATGAAGAGTACCTCAATGTGGTTAGACTTGTGCCTGAGAACTTCCAGGATCTTAATAGCAAGAGGGAGGTGGATCGCGACCAGCTGATGACCGTCCTGGCCAACGTGACGCATCTCTTGATCAGAGCCAACTACAATTCCGCAAAGATGGCTCGTTACAGGTGTGTATTGAAATGGGGGGATATGTACTGCGAGGACACATCAGTCCGTTTTTATGCATTATAGGATATTTTAAAAGCCGAATATACTTTACTTGATTATTTTAAGGACATGGCTAATGGAACTGTCTTAAAATTAGTTTTTATTACTACGTTAGTGAAGATGTAAGAAGAGTTGTGCATGACAAATGTGCCTGGTAGGAGGCAGGCTTGACGTTCAGATCAGAAGTTTTCAGTGTGGTTTTCTGAGAAATGCCCAGTGAGGTGACCGCGTTGCATCTGGTTTCCACCCTCCTGATGTTAATGGTCTTAGACGTCACACAGGCTATTTAAGCTCATGAATCCATCCTTAGCCATTTTGTTTCCTCAAAAAGGTCAATTTCTGGCAATGCCAGGCTAAGCGCACCTTGATGCAGCTAAAGCAGCCACAGAACTGCACATGCAGAGACAGTCTGTCTGCACTGGAGACAGTTCAGCAGAATGGGCTCTTGCTTCTGAAGTTCATTCTTCGGAGTGGGCCCCCAGAGCCTTCCCACAGCTGTCTTTGTACCAAAGGGCGAAGGCATTTCCGGGGAATAATGACAGCTCCCAGAAGACGTGCTGTTGTGAAAATCTTTAGTTATTTAGGAAAACCACGACACCATTTTGTGTGAATTGAATCTTTTTTAGGAATCCGTCTTCTTTGAGGTGTTAGATGCCACGTGCGGGTGTGTAAGTCATGTAACGATGCCGTCTGCTTGCAGGTTGGATTCTGTCTCTCTGGACACGGCCAGCCCTAACGTGATAGACCTGGCCCTGGCCACGGAGGTGGAGCAGTGCGAGTGTCCCCAGGGCTACGCGGGCATCTCCTGTGAGGTACGCGCCTCCTCCCTTCCGCTCTTCTTTTCTCCTTCTTACAGGGAAAAAGCTCATCGAAGGTGGTGTGATGGTGCACATTTGAATTTTAACTTCGGAAACCCATTGTTTCTAAACTTCAGACTTAGGGGGAGCTATAGCAATATTAGGAGCCACCTTGTGTAAAGAACTCAAGAGTCCGCTGGGGCGCCTGGGAATGCCCTGAGGAGGGGCTGCTCTCCTGCTGAGTCAGCAGGGAAGCTGCAAGGCTCACGCCATATCTGCATTTCTAAGGAGGACTGAACTTGATCTTATTTGAGCGTGTACCCATTACCAACATGCGATCTGAAAGCTTTACACAAGCCAGGCCTGTCTGGAGACTTTTTCTGGCCCCAGGCTATGTTACTTAGGTGGATGTCACCTCACACACGCAGTACATGAAACTACACTTGCAGTCATCAAAAGCAATCTGTTGCTTAAAAAATTTTGAAATATATTTTGCAATTATTTGAATATATATATTGATAGTAACTCTCTCATACTGAGAACTTTGTATGTCTTTGGTATTGTTCTGAGCCCTTTCCACATGTTTTCTCATTTAATCCTTACAACAACCCTATCAGGTAGGTACTTCATACACTTTCTGTTCCACAGATTAGGAAACTGAGGCACAGAGAGGTTAAGTAACTTGACCGAGGTCACACATCTCAGAAGTTGTCATATCAGGATTTGAACATGATCTGGGCTGTTAACCATCACGTGGTCCTGCCTCTCACGTGTTCTTGATTGACTGTGACTGTGAACATTTGTCCCTAGCTGTGATTTCTTGGCAGTCATTTTTACAAAATGAGAACATTTAACCTATAATTTGTTTCTGTCTTTATCAGTTACTGACTTGGCAGTTAATAAAGATGGCTTAATGCTTTATGATGTAGATATTTAATTAAATCTTTTTATTTCTATTTTAAATATTTGGCAGGATTTTTTGGCAGGAGGTGGGGACCAGTGAACTTTTTTTTTTAACATCTCATTTATTTTTAGGCCTAACAGGTGTTCCCAGTTCTTAATCCCTTTGGTTCTAGTGTTTAATGGATAAATGACCCTCAGACAACCTCAGTGTGTGGATGTGGGAACTGAGGGGACAGTGAGAATCATGGAAGTAGAAGCCCCGGCCAGCTAGACCAGGAGGGGGCAGCAGAGAGCAGCTGCTGCTGGAGAAGTCAGTGGAGCTCCAGAGGGGAGGGGAGGGTGGGTGCTGGTGCGCGTGGGGTGATGGCTCAGGCAAGCCCAGGAGGCTCACGCGTTCCTTTGCATGTGTTTCTATTAAGCAAAACTCATTCTCTAATCAGACCTTTACCTAGAAGCTGACTTGAGGCATCAGGCAGCTATGGCTGGGAATGGAATCTGGGGGAGCACTGTGGCCGCCACTCCCACCCTCCAGGCAGGCACGTGCCCAAGCCCATCTGTAGACAAGCCCGCTGTCCCCTGGGGGTGGGGCTTCCAGGAGGTGTCTGGGGACTTTCCCAAGGTCAGTGTGAATGAAGGCATTATGCATTATTTGTATAATGAAACATTCTTTAAGAATTCTTCTAACAGTAACAAATCCACATCCCCTCCACCCATGCCCCCAGGGGAGTGTGCCAGCCTCCAAATTAACCATTCCCCAGGCTGCGCTCTAGCTGTGTTTCGCTTCTGCTGTGGCCCAGGCAGCCGGGGACGTGGGGCTGGAGGTGCGCACACCCGGCGTTGAATCTGCACTGTCTTGGTGGGCCGAAGCTAACACCCCTGCTCCCGATTCCATGTCTGTCGAACAGACACCGATTGCTCAGGGTGGTCACGAGGACCCGTGAAGTACAGTGCCTGGGTTGGTCCCCGGCCCCTCAATGCCCACGTTGCCTTCCAACGCCTGTAATGTTTGCACAAGTAAACCCCTGCAGTTTGACACAGACCTGCCTTTAACACTTTGATGGAAACATTTAATAAATTTTAAGCAAAAGCAAAAGAAAGTCAAGAGAAAAACGTCCTCTTGATTGGAGCACTGGTTAGTTAAATGACTGTTACATGATTTCTAAGAACATTGAGTGGAGGAGCACTGTGATGTGTGCTGACTCATTGCACAGTGTTAGGTTTTTAAAGGTAGAGACCTTTAAAAAAATCAGGAACTGAATTATGGTGATGATTTTATAACTCAGTAAATTTACTTAAAAAAATCACCAAATTGTATGCTTAAATGGGTGCAATTTTATGGGATATTTTGGGGGAAGAAAGAAAAAGAAAAAAGTGTCTGTTCATGGAAAGTTGAGCAGTTTGTGTCTCTAACATACTGGGAAGATGATTCACTTTATGTAAAAAGCTGCCATCACCCACACGGTCCCCCACTTGTTTTGCAGACCTGCCTCCCTGGCCATTACCGTGTAGATGGAATACTCTTTGGAGGAATCTGTCAGCCCTGTGAATGCCACGGCCACGCCCCTGAGTGCGATGTTCACGGCGTCTGTCTTGTGAGTCTGTCTAAGAGCGCGAATGCCCCTCCTCCCACCCTGAAGCTGTCACTGTGCCGAAGGGAGTGAAGCAAATGCTCCCTCCACAGCGACCATCCCTGCCCCTGCAGACCCCAAAGAAAACCTGCAGCTCCCAGTTCAAGTCATAAAGTGTTTCCTGCCCCCTCCCCCCCGTTTTTGAAGAAGGGTTGCTTTGGCGATAGTAGAAAAAGGATGTATAATTTCACTGCAGGTTTCTTTTTTTATTAGAACAATGAGTCACTATTTAGCAAGATGATAAAACAATATAAAGGTAGAAAATGTTATCCAGTGATTAAATTAAAAAGATAAAAAGGTCAGATCCTTCCAATGTAAGGGCTAGTAGATTTTAACATCACATGACATAGGGCAGCATGAGAGGAATCATAACACTTCTAATAATCTCACTGGTTCCTACGATCCATAACGCTTTGTGGTTGTCAGCTTGGATAAACTCTGCAAACAAGTACTTCTTTCACACAGTAGGAGATGAAGCAGGGCTTAACAAATATGTCGTTCATCTTGAGAATGAACTCTGGGGCAGATGCAGGGCAAGACTTGTTTTTTAACTTCAGTCAGGAATTCTTTTAGGCTCTGATGCCCGGGAGCCAGGCCGCAGTCCCGGGCTCTGATGGATTCTCGGCTCCTAGGGGGACTGAATGCGTATGGTAATTCACTAGCCTGGGAAAGTGTCATGCTTTTTCCAGAAGAGATCAATCGAGTCAGAGGACCAGGGAAAATTAATGATCAGACCACAGGGAAGAGCTTGGCTCACTCTCCCTGGAGCCTAATTTGTCTTTGTTTTGTAAGCACGGCTTTCCGTTCTGTGCTCTGTCCACGTACTTGTTCTGTAAGTGAAGCGTCTTGGAGAGCGGCGTGGAGTAAGTCCCTCCAGGATGAGTCCTTAGGTGCAGCTTCCGGCTGCTTGGTGAGGTCCTTGCATTTTTAAAACTGCTCTCCCTTTGCCATTCTGGTTTGAGAGACCAGCCTCCAGAGGCCTCTGTCAACATGGGGGTGGGTGATCCGCGGGGCATGGTTGTGCCACCTATGGTCTTAGTGACAGGTGGGCTGGAAGAGCATTTGCATTTGCTTCTGTTAACATACATTTACAAAAATATGTGCTCCTACGAAAGTGAAAATGCTGAATAGCAACTGGCCTTAAAGCTCTAATTACAGTAAATAATAATTTGTATAGTTTTAACACTTTTTGCAAATAATTTCAGATTTACGGGAAGGTTAGAAAAACAGGACAGAGTCCTGTGTCCTCGTCAGTCACCCTGCTTCCCCTGATGCTCCCGTCGCACAGTCAGTACTGGGATCATCAGCCCCACGACTGCGCTGAGCGCTCATCCATCTCCTGCTTGGGGCCTTCTTCCTCTCCAGCATCTCACCCAGGGCCCCACGCTGCCTTGGGGGGCCTTGCCCCCTTCAGGCTCTGACAGTTCTCAGTCTTACCCTGTGGACCGCCCCTCAGTAGGGCTGGTCCACCTTCTCGTGAGCCTGAGGTGACACGTTTGGCCAGAGGACCTGGAGGTGACATGCTCTCTCAGCATGTGCCATTGGGGTCCCTGATGCCATGTGTTCTCCTGGGGACGTTAGCTTGGGTCACTCGGATAAGGTGGTCTCTGCTTGATTCTTCCACTGTAAAACTATTTTTTCCCTTTTTTAAATAATCAAAGGGGCACAAAAATAATAAAAACTTTGATTGGAATACAAGGGAAGTATAAAAATGTGGTAGCATCATTTATCTGTTTAATCTACTTTTAAAATTCTAGTTTAACCAGAATCTTTGATTCCTCCTTCTGTATAGCTGTTAGCAGCCCCTGGCCTTGCGTGTGATCATCTGGCTACCAGGGGTCAACTCCTCATACATGGTTTATTAGAGAGAAGTTTTTTCCAGTTCTTAGTGCTCCTATGCTTTTTTTTTAAAGACTATTTTTTAAGAGTAGTTTTAGGTTTACGGCAAAATTGAGAGGAAGGAATGGAGCTTACCCATAGGCCCCTTCCCCCACATGCTCATCCTCCCCCATTACCAACACCCCCTACCAGTTACACTTGGTGACCAGACACACACGTCACAGTCACCCAGCGTCCACAGTTAACCTGCGTCCTTACTCCTTTCTCTGAGCTCTCTCTGCTCTTACTCCAGGGATAAATCAATTTCTTTCCTTTGCAAAGACAGGGGCATAAAATGCAGCTGTGCATGTCTTGGGCCCCCGGGTTTTTCCTTTTCTCCTTTTCCAATCAAGAGAACATGTGTTTCCTCCCCAAGGAATTGAAAATTCCCATCCCCTCACATCCCACACCCACCAACAGCGACTGTCACTTAAAGGGATGCTGGCACCACCTGAGAAGACGCTGAAACAGACCTTCAGCAGGTGTTTCAACAGAATTACATCGTAGTTTTCCCAAAGAGAAAGAAGACCCAATCTGGCCCTTTGAGCAAAGAAAGCAAATCATAAATGTTTTGCAATTGAGCATAAGTCAAATGTATTTTAATGAAACTAGTTATTTAGCACAATACTTTCAGCACAACCATGTAGGTATTTACCAAGGCCAGTTGCATCTTGAATTGATTTAGGTTCATCAGGTGGTCTGAGTGAGTCTTCTTCCCGTGCGTGTGTCCTAGGCGTGCCAGCACAACACCACCGGGGACCACTGTGAGCAGTGCCTGCCGGGCTTCTACGGGCTGCCTTCCCGCGGGACCCCTGGGGACTGCCAGCCGTGTGCCTGCCCCCTCGCCACAGCCTCCAACAAGTAAGCCTGGCGTGTCCCCAGTCCACCTGCCCCGCCTGGCCAGGCTCTCCAGCCGGGTGTGCACTGCTGTCTTCAGAGCAAGACCTGTGTGTGAGGACAGTGTGGATTTCGCCCCTGGTACTTAACTGGGATTAGAGATGGAGGAACAGATTCTCTCTCTGTTTTTCTTTTTAAGTGTAGTGCGTTGAATTCTGTAAGGAAAGTCGTGTGATAGCAAGGACATTTGCATGCTTTTTCCTCCTGTTCTGATGTGGCCATCAGTTCTTTCATAAGTGTATACTGTGTGCCTTCCACTGGGCTTGGAGGAAGAGGGGTGCAGAGATAAATAAAATAAAACTTGTTCCTGGGATTGAGGAGTTTTTGAACTAATGATCCAAGTATGTAAATCAAGAATGGGCCAAATTCATTTTATTGATTCAACAAATGTTTATCGAGCGCCTAATGTATGCTGGGTGTCGTAGGAAGGGTTCTGAGTGTCCAGCCGTTCCCCTGTGGCTGCCGGCCCCACTGACTGCACAATGTGGTCCAGTACACAGAGTAGGCAGCTCCCTGGGGGAGCCCTTGATCTGAGACTCCCAGGGTGGGAGCTCATTGGAAAGCAGCAGAGAGGGGCGCTCCGGGCAGGAGGCAGCGGCGTGAACAGCTCCCCGCTGGAGGAGCTGCGGGCAGCCCCGGGCACAGAGCAGGAGGGGAGGGGGGAGGACAGTTATATTCAAGGCCTCGTATGTCACTCGTGCTGGAGCTTGTGTGTCCCCAGGCCAGCAGTCTGAAAGCCTCTTTCTTTCTCACTGTTCACCTTCAGAACCATCCGCTACCCACACCTAGAGGAGTCCCCCACAGGGATTTCTAGCTGAAACTCCAGCAGCTTATAAAACAGAATAAGGGCTGCTCTGGTGAAAGCAGAGTGGGAGGGCTCGCCACTGCCCCCAGGCCTCCCTTCGTGGTCCTTCCGGAGACAGTGAGGGCTCTTTGGGAGATGTCATCAACTCCCTGAAGTGCAGGAGCCTCTTGGCTCTGGCGTGGAAGCGAGCGCACCCTTGGCCATTGTGGGCAGGGCTCTGAGGCAGAGGAGAGGATTTCTGCATGATCAGAAGCGTCAGGGCAGGCCTCCTGGAGGAGGCAGCCACTGAGCTGGGCCCTGGGGACAAGACAGCAAACCCAGGCCGCGGCTGAGGAGTGGAGTCAGGGCCAGAGAAGCAATGAGTGTCATGTGCCCACGGGGCGGGCTGTGTGGCTGGGCCCTGGGTTCTGGGCTCTGAGGGCCCAGTGCAAGTTTGTGTGGACAGGAATGATAGAAACTTAGCACTTTAATACCAGGAGTTTTGCACCTTCCCCTGGATAACTACCTCCGTTTCTACTGTTCTGTCAGTTTCAGCCCCACCTGCCACCTGGACGACAGGGACGAAGTGGTCTGTGACCAGTGTGCTCCGGGATACATGGGAGATTGGTGCGAGAGGTACCCTGCTTCCTTCAGCCGCTTCCCAAAAGTTGCATTAATATTTTGGACTGAAATTCTGTGTGTTTATTTTTAAACATGTAGTTTTAGCAGTTCGGGCATGTAATTATTATTTCATCTAATCATAGAGAAAAGCCAGCAGGTTGGTCAAAAAATTAAAGTTGAAAGTCCCTGGTAACTTTTCCATCCTCTTAAGCAAATCGGAGCTCTCATCAGTAACAACAGGAAACAGCCAGGAGTCAGTACTTCTGTCCCCACATTTACACATCCCGTTCCTCAGGCCAATCCCATAGGTGAGGGGTGGCTGGATTTAATCGATGTCTTCTGGTGCCTGGAAGCCAGGGTTGTCTTTCCCACGTGTAAGTCTCGGTGCCAAGTCTGGCTGGAGTCCTAGGAGGGTGACATCCCGGAGAGGTGGGATGCAGGTCAAGTTGCCTGGGACTGCGATCGCATCCTCTGGGAGGTTTGGCCCCTTTCGGATCATTCCCGGTTCCTCACGATGAGTGGAAGGAACCTGGACGCTGAACTTGGAGCAGCATTGCTCTCACAGTAAATCTTAGGTAGACAGTCCGTCTGACTGATGAAGTGTGCAGGGAGTCCCTGGATGGTGGGGCAATGTCTACAGTAATTGCATTTGTTTGCATCCCTCTTTCAATCTCTGCTGCAGATGCGCAGATGGTTACTATGGAAACCCCACGGTGCCTGGGGATTCCTGTGTCCCTTGTAACTGCAGCGGCAACGTGGACCCCTTGGAGGCCGGGCGCTGTGACTCCGTCACGGGAGACTGCCTGCAGTGCATTGGGAACACGGGCGGCCCCCACTGTGAGCGGTGTGCTGATGGCTTCTACGGGGATGCTGTGACCGCGAAAAACTGCCGCGGTGAGTGTGAGGGCCAAGGGCAAGTCCGTTCCTTGTCACGTGTGATGTCTCCTCCCATCTACTTACTTGTGTCAAAGGTATTCGGCCCAGGAGGTGGCTTGGGAACTTGACCTGAGTGGCACGAGGTCTGTCTCGTCTCCCCTGGGTTCGCTTGATTTTCCCCAGTGAAGGTCACATGGCCTGGACACTCCCTTCCATCTGTGGAGAACGTGCTGGCCCTGCTCCCATGACCAACATGAAAGGAGCTCGTCCCGGCTTCATGAGGCCGATGGGATTTCAAGAGGTAGGGTGGGAAGTGGGGACACCGCAGCCCCGCAAATGGGCGCATCTCAGTGGTCTGTACCTGAACCACTGACCCCTGCGGTGCTCTGCAGGGCTCTGCTCAGACCCCTGAAACACGGGCCATGCAGAACCACTCCCTGAGAAAAGATTTTCATATTCCCTGGAGGACAAACTTATAGCCTTCGGGCTAACACAGCTCTCAGATTCTTTTGCACTTTCCTTGAAGAAGGAGTGAAAGAGTAAAAATGACACTTGTAAACTGTTTTGATAATTTCCTATAAATGCTGGTCCTACTGTGCTATTACAACGTGGAGACACAAGGGGGTGCTAGCGACACAGAAAAGATGTTTTCCCAGGTGCAAGTCAAGAGACTGGGCCTATCAACCCGGTCTTCAGCACCTTGATGGGTTATCCCAGGATAATTATGATAACTGGCATTTGTATAAAGCATCAGAGTTTACAGAATGCTTTCACAATTTTCGTGTCATTTCTTCTGTCCTTACTGCAAACTTGATGATCCATTTCTTAGTGCATTTGTCATTTATTAAGTGTCTGCTACTTCCCAGGCATTGTTCTGAGCTCTGTGACTGGAGCTAGAAATTGTGTCCCAAGTCTCTTTGGGAGCCACACACGATGGTGTGGAAGATGAGCCCACGTGTGGCTCTCTGGCTTTGGAGTCTGACTAATGCAGGGTCCAGGGTTGGTCACAGATCAGCTGTGTGACGTAAGGCAAACATATTAACTTCTCCCAGCCACTGCTGCCTCATGTGTGAAATGAACATTCTATACATATATATACACACACACACACACACACTAAGGCCTTTCTGAGAAGTCACTGGGATAACAAATTTGAAGTTCTAAACAGTAAACAAATGGTAGCTATCATAATTGCTAGTAATAAGAGTGGTCATTTTTATGATTTTCCTATATCAGTGCTGTTCAACAGAAACATGTAATTTAAAATTCTCTAGTAACACCCTTTTAAAAAGTAAAAAGAAACAGGTAAACTACATTTTAATATTGCATTTTATTTACTCCAATGCGTAGAAAGTATTATTTTACCATGAAATCAAGTTTTCAAAGTGTTAATAAGGTAACTGCTTTCTTCTCTTCATACTGATTCTTCACAATTCAGTGCGTGTTTTATAGCTGATCTCAGCTGGATGCTAAGTTGATAAGCACTTGATCTGTGTGCAGGTTACACAGACGTCAGTGCTGAAGCAGTGCAGTCACACAGCACTGTTCAGGCATACCAAGACGTTTTCCATCATGCACCAAAGGACAGTTTCCCTTTATCTGTATCCGTAAGGACAGAACTGCTTCAGCATCTTCCCACAGAGGTGAAGGGAAGGTCTGGGCGATGACCGGAGCTGGGGAGGGCAGCAGGGTGGGATTTGGGTCCTGGTCCACGCCGGCCGCACAGGCAGCTGGACTGGGTGTAGGCTGACCCCGGGCTCACTCTCGTTCTGAGCATTTACACTTTTCCTTCTCTTCTCGCCTCCTCTTTCTCCTCCCCCAGCTTTGTTGATATGAATTCTTGCAGCTGTTTCTGATTATTTCACTAGAGAGCTTTCCAGGTATACAATAGGGGTCCTGCTTGTGGACTTCCCAGAGGTCTCCACATGGTAATATGATATTTTATTGGGTTAACCCAGTAAAAATTCCAGTATTTAATATCACCAACATGGGAAGTCTCATGGAGTTGCTGGGAAGGTGCTTGGATATTCCGGAGGGCAGGAATCAGGGAAGATGGGGGCTGGAGGGTTATGAGTTTGGCCCTGTGGTCGTTGAAGTGGTGGACACCCCTGTCCAGGCAGAGAGTGGCGCTGAGGGAGAAGAGGCTTGTGGGAACCCTTAAGCTCAAAGGTTAAAGAAACTTTGTATGAAATGACCTCAGTAGGAATAATTTTATACGATGAGGTTCTTATGAGAATTAAAATACATGGAAAGCGTCTGCAGTCAGTAATTAACAACTATTTAAAATCAGTATTACTCATACTGTGAACAACTTTTGTTAATAATCGCTATTGTAATTACTATAAAAGGGTAGCTGCTAACAGCTGTGTGATCTACAGCAACAAGTTACATCACCTTCCTAAGGTTTAGACTTCACACCCCAAACTAGGGCAAATTAAAGTGCTTCCATCCTCCGTTTGTTACGAAGGTTGATTCCTTTATTCTGTGTGTTGACTGTAACGAGACAGACACAAGCTGACGGCCGTTCGATAAATGTGATTTGTTATTATCACAAATACTTTGTGATGATCATACGCGAAGTGAACTCCGAATGTTCCCCAGAGGAAGAGCAAGCTTTAAGTGAGATACAGACAGGGAGGCCCAGAGGGAACTTCAAGAGACAGGAAGGAAACCAGAGTGGGGGTCCCGAAACCCAGGGAAGAGAGGTTCAAAAGGGAGGGAGGGGCTGTGGACCAGGAGCCAGGACCTGCTCACGGAATCTGCACCTGGGGGTCCTGGCCGTTCAGGAAGAGCAGCTGCAGCAGCCAAGGGGCCAAGAAGGCACGGTGCACAAGCTGGACTGGACGCTGGCTGTGCTGAGGAGAAGGGACGGCGAGGGGGGCGCCAATCGATAGGGGTCAGGGATGGAACCTCAGAGTTGGGTGCTGGGGGCCGGGGTGTGAGTGAGTGTTGTGTGTGAGATGTTTTCCGTGGGAGACCGCTGAGAGTGGTTGGAGGCTGAGGACTGTTTTAAATGTGGTTTTATTATTATTTCGGTACAGCAGGGCCAGCAGATCGGGAGAGGATGACCGTTGTTTGTTACTCTGGGTGCCAGGTGGAGGGGGTGGGCCCGCAGGGAGGCACGCAGGGTGGGGGGGTGGGGGAAGTGTGGGCAGGGGCCTTTATCTGCAGGAAGAAAAGGGCAGGCAGTTAAGCAGGTTCCGGATCAACTGGCTATTTCGAATCATTGCAGCAGGTCCCGGGCCAGGGGGCTGTCCCTCTTGTCTGATGCACAGCCAGGGGTGAGGGTGGTCGGGACAGGTGGAGAGACAGACCTGAGAGCCCAAAGGAACAGGGAGCCCAGTGAGGAAGGCGGTGGGGTGTGGGCTCAGCACGGGCTGGTCTGCATATGAAAGGCAGGTGAGCTGTTTACTGGCTCAGAAACTGACTAGCCCTGGGAGGGGCCCCAGGAGTCAAAGCCTCAGAAATACAGAAAATAAAAGGAAACCTACAGGAACAGGCAGCTGTGTGAGGGCCCTGGCCAGTGTGAGTAGCACCTGGCCCACCCCTGCAGGAGCCGTCAGCATCAGTCCCCTCACAACAGCGAGGTCCTTGAGGAGAGAGGCCCGTGACCAGGCCCTGCTCAACTAAGGAAACTTAGGAGTTGATGTCTCCTCTGACATCAGCCAGTCCCCAGGGTCTCCCCCGCTCTGCCCCTCACCCCGCAGCGTGGTGCCGAAGTGCGCTTGCCCTTGAGATAACTTGAGAAGTTTTTCTCACGTGGTTATACCACACGACGGAGAAGAGCGTGCGCTTTCTGAGCCCAAGCACTCAAACTGTGCACGTCCTGGGATAGCCTGTCGGCGATACATTAAATATTCTGAGTGACGTGCAGATGTCAGCTGTGGTACGAAGAGCAAGTGAACGTTTCTCGGACCCCTTAAACTGCGTCACTTTGAAAAGGTGGGGGAGCTGGTAGCTTTAAATATCAATATTCTGTATGAAAGCGAATATGTAAGTGTGTGCACGCACGGCTGGGCCTTGGTGCTGCACAACGGAAGCTGACACACTTCAATTAAGTAAATAAATAAATAAGTAGATAGATAGATAAATAGATAAAACATCAACGTTCTGTATTCTGACTGTAGATAAAGCTAAAGCATCTGGCCTGAAGGGAAGAACCTGAAGCTCCAGAGCAGGGAAATATTTTATTAAATTTTGAAATATATCAGTTACCTAGATGATTATAACTGAGCTTTAAAATACTAAATATATATATGACTGGAATGAGCAAGTGGTTAAATTGATTTTGAAATCTTGCATGTTTTTTATGCAGATTTGTGGATATACATTGGTGTCTCATTTTAAAATTTTCAAGGAAATGAAACTGGTTGAGTTTGCTTGCTAATTATTATCTTACTAGTATCAGTAATTTTTCTTCTCTGTGATGGTTCCTTCCACCAACCTTATTTTGGAAAACCACTAAATTTTTAAAGTTACTGCAAAGCAATACTTATTTTTAGTCTTATGATTTAAAATGTGAAAGTTAAAAATTTTTCCTTTTGGGATTAAAGGATTTTCTAACAACCATACCCAGAAATGGGCACAAATATGTCTTGTGTATGTGTCAGCCTGTGAATGCCACAGACAAGGCTCCCTTTCTGCCATCTGCCATCCTGAGACTGGACTCTGTGACTGCAAAACACACGTGACCGGACAGCAGTGTGACCAGTGCGTGGTAAGACGCCTCGGGTCCGTTGAGTCCAGTGAGAGTGTTGTCCTGTGATGTCTGTAACTGATAACTGGTTCCACAAAGTGGAATTCACGGATCCCGGCAGCGCGGCCGGTGGGTGATGCGGGTCCCTATGTGGAGAGTGCGTGTTCAGTTCACAGCAGTGGAATGATGTCATGAACACTTTGTGAGTCTGGGAAACGTGCAGTGTTGGATTTGGGGAACGTTCTAGTCGGTGCTAGTGGCTTAATTACTACAACGTCGTTTGTCTTCCACGCCTCTGCCCCTCCACCTCGAAACAGCTCGGCTACTACGGGCTGGACACGGGCCGCGGGTGCCTGCCCTGTAACTGCAGCACGCCGGGCTCCCTGTCGGACGCCTGCACGGAGGAAGGCCAGTGCCACTGCGCTCCAGGCGTGGCCGGGCGAAGGTGCGACAGGTGTGCCCACGGCTTCTACGCCTACCAGGACGGTGGCTGTACACGTAAGCGCTCAGATTTGAGACTTTGTTGTAATCCCCAGACTTTTCTTTGAGCTCTCCTTTGACTTCTGACGAAGTCTGTTAAGTTCCTTTTTTTCTGAACATGTAGGATTTCATGCCTTTTTTTCTGTTTCCTAAGCCCGGTTCTTGTTAAGGCCATAAGCCGTGGTCAGGCTGCATCAATTGTGTGCGTTTAGACTACTTACTTAACTCCTCTTAGCTTTGGTGTCCTCACCTGTGGAATGGAGAAGCCAATTATCCTCTCCACCCAGGAGATATTGCTAAGGTTGTCAAAGTCCTTAACAGGTCAGTTGGCAACAAGAAGTTCTCAACAAGCTCTCTTCCTCCCTCTGCATCCCAGTTATCTCCCAGCCACAGCATCTCTCCGCAAGGAGAAGCGCCACCTCCCGTCAGACGCGCGGTCCCCTTCAGGAAGGAGCAGAGTGATGTTGATTAAGAAAAGGGAAATAACTTGCAGGGTCGGCTCTCACCCGTCAGTTGACCCAACCATCCTCATCCCTAACAACACCCTCTGTCTTTGCCGTAGCCTGCGACTGCGCTCACACTCAGAATTCCTGTGACCCGGAGTCCGGGGAGTGCGTCTGCCCGCCTCATACCCGGGGCGCAGCGTGTGAGGAGTGTGAGGATGGACACTGGGGCCACGACCTGGAGCTCGGGTGCCAGGTGTGAACTGTCACTGTCTCAGCTGAGAATCACTCTGCTGCATCACATGTCATTCACCTGCTGCTAGCTGTTCGCTTGATTTTAACCTGTTAATTAGCTTCATGGCTTCTTTTTAAAGCTCAGTACGGATTGTCAGAATCAAAGTAGAAGCAGTGGCACCTTTATAATAACACGTTATTCTCAGCTTTCTTCAGGAGCCAGCTGCGGAGCTGACGGTTAGAAGATCAGAACTTTATATTAGTGCCTTTTAAATATATTCTGTAATAAATGCTGGAGTTTGTGTTTTGAAAACAGGGCAAATTTCTTGACTTCTAAAATAATTTGCTGCACTGCTTTGACCTTTGGGGTAGACTAGACGTCAGGCCACGGCTCAGGCCCCGTGAGCGTGCACCACACCCGTGCGCTCAGTCCAGCAGTGTAGTCCGGCCTCCGGTGGGCACGTGCGGCAGTGGGAGGAGCCCTTTGTCTGTATAATTTCCCCACGTTCAGTGTTGTCCTGTAATCCTCGCAGGTGCAGATGATGAAAATGCCAAAGCTGCCTTTTTAGTTAGTTTTTTTCTCTCAGGCCTGCAACTGCAGTAATGTGGGCTCAGCCAGTCCTCGGTGCGACGTGCTCACTGGCCGTTGCCCGTGTGAGCCTGCGTTCGGTGGCTGGACCTGCGACCAGTGCTCCCTGGGTTACAGAGACTTCCCGGAGTGCGTGGCCTGCAACTGCGACCTGAGAGGGACGCTGCCCGACACCTGCGACCAGGAGCAGGGGCTCTGCAGCTGCGCACAGGAAACTGGGACCTGCTTGTGCAAGGTACGGGCCCTGGGCTCCACTCTCTTCCCTCCCCCGCTGCCAGTCCGACGCTGGGGCTTCAGCTACGGAAGTAGGCACCTGTGAGTTCACACCACCTTCCAGGCCCGAGTTTAAATTCTGTGTGTGCTCTTCTAGAATGACAGGTGAGCTTTAGATGGAATTTCTGTTGTTTATTACAAGTGTCAGGTGATGGAACTAACTTGAAAACCACGCTGAGTTTTCTCTCCTGTGTTCCAGTTGGCTGAGTAGCCAGTCTGTCTTGACTACACAGGTAGAACAGATGACACAGGGCTTCAGGAAGATCTGTGGTTTTTTAGGGCTGGTAAGCATTCTCTTGTGTGTGCCGGCCAGACTGGAGGACATTTGGGTGTATTATTTCCCAGGGGGTCCGATTTCAACATCATGCTGAATTCCGTGTGTTTCCATTAGTTTTCTCATTGTGCTTTGTTATTAGAAGGTCATTGGCTGGCTTCTCGGGTCCTTTCCCAGGGGCTGGTGAGATGGAAGCCGGGTCCTGGGTTAATGAGTGAAGGGGGAGAAGGGAGGGGAGACGCACGTGGGGCCGCGAGCTTGCTTCACCACACCTGTGGCTGCAGCTCGGCCAGCAGCGCAGGAGGACCTCCTCGTAATCACTGGGCCTGTGGGCTCCACCCCCCCGGATTAGGGTCACCTGGCGGCTCCAGGAGACTTATGGGCCCGGGAACCGCCAGGTCTGAGAGCTGAGGCTCAGAGAGGCTCGGGAACCCACCGCAGGAACAGCTAGCTCCCGGTGTTTGTTCATCCAGAACTTTTTTGTGTTTTATTTCATTTCTGTTCAGGAACCGTGTCTCTTGTTCAGGTAAAAACCAGTCTGTTGCTGTGTGCCCTCTAGGAGAACGCCGTCGGCCCACGGTGCAGCGAGTGTCGGGCCGGCACCTTCGCTCTGGCCGCTGCCGCCCCCCAGGGCTGTACCCCCTGCTTCTGCTCGGGGCTGTCACAGCTCTGCGCCGAGGCCCAGGGCTACGTGAGGACCCCGGTGAGTCCCCCGCAGTCACGGGTTCTGTGTTAACCCTTCACCCTTGGGAGTCGGGGGAAGGTGGGACGGAAATTTTCTTACCGAGTCAGAAATTCTAGGAAGCTGGTTTGAGGGAGTGAGTCAGGGCCCTGCTGCTGACTCCATCCCAGGGGTCAACGGAGCGGGGGCTTCGGCCTCTGGCAGCCCTCTTTGGACTGAAATCTCAATAGTCTCCTTCATGTAATTGAACATCGCCCAATGGTGTGTAGTTTGATCCTAATTGAAGGCACTTTCAGTTCATTTTAATCCAGATGTTTAAATTTAAAACAAACGGCTTTCTTATTCCTGTTTTAATAATGAAGCTGCCTCGTCTGAAACAGTGGAAGAATCTGACAGTCAAAGGCACGGAGTTAATTCACTATGAAGTTTCTCAGTGTCCTCCCTTCCATGACTAGGTCACGCTGAGCTCCAAACAGCCTCGTCTGCGTGTGGTTTCTCAGAGTGACCTCAAGGGTACAACCGAGGGGGTGTACTCGCAGGCCCCCGATGTCCTCCTGGACGCCGTGACCGTCAGGCGGCATGTCCACGCGGAGCCCTTTTACTGGCGGCTCCCTGGGCAGTTTCAGGGGGACCAGGTGAGACCCACATCCAGCCCAGAGCCCGTACCTTTCCTGGGGGCAGGGGTGCAGTCTGAAATCATGCTGACCTGGGCTGGCCTGTTGTGAACTGGAGTAGTGGCTAATTTTCTCTTCTAAGTGGGGGTGGAGAAGGGTAACACTTAGAAAAATCCCCCCAGATCAGACAGATGGCTCTTTAATTTTTCCGTAAATTCTGAAAGTCTTTTAAAGTTTCAGTCATGCTTCCTCCTTCTGACATCAGTCATTCAGCAAGCATTTACTGTCTTTGCTAATAGGGGCTCGTGCAGGCCCGGGTGCGGCGGCCTGGGAGGGTCTTCTCAAGAACCCGACACTCACGTGGGGGAAAGAGACCTGAAGGGCACCGTCTGCATTTTTGTTTATATCAAGATAGGAGTCTCTGTGTGAATTCACCCTGATTTTTAAAAATATTTTTCTTTTCTTTTTTTTGCAAGGGGAAGGCATTAGGCTTATTTACTTATTTACTATTTTTGATGGAGGCACCAGAGACTGAACCCAGGACCTTGTGCATGCGAAGCACGCACTCTACCACTGGGCTATACTGTCCCCCCACCCAGTTCACCCTGATTTTTAAAATTTGCAGATATACATCCGGTGCTCCTATAAGCTGTAGACCATTTTTAATTCAAAGGAACTTGAAAGTAATGAGAATGACTATCACATTGCTTTGTTACTTAGGAGCCTACTTTTGTTGGCATCGTCAAGAGGAAATGTTGGGAGGTGCTGGACACGTCTGTGGCTTTGGTGGTAGCTGCACGTGTGTGTACTTAGCCCCAAACCCACCGAGTTGTACACACTACGTACATACAGTTCTGTATGCCCATCATGCCTTACGAAGTGGGTTTTAAAACTCTGAAGATCACTTAACTCTAGCTCAGGCCAACGTAATAATCCATAATTAGAATTAGAAGGAAGCAAATTCCAGATAATTTATGCCACCCGTGTGATGTATTTTTAAGATGCAAGGTTTCCTTCAAATGGCAGCAGGCTTATGATAAAATATTTTTAAGCCACTGGTGTGTCAGAGAAGTAAACGCCGGTGCCCCTCCCCCCCCGCAGCTCACAGCCTACGGCGGGACGCTGCGCTACAGCGTGGCTTTCCGCTCTTCCCACGGGCTCGGCCCCTTCAACCTGGAGCCGCAGGTGCTCATCAGAGGAGGCCGGGCCAGGAAGCAGGTCATCTACGTGGACGCGCCCGCCCCGGAGAACGGAGTGCGGCAGGAG